GATTCTTCGACATTGCGCCATGTTTTTCAGCTTTAGCAACTGTGTTATTTTATTTATTTTTTATTTTTTTTAAAAAAATATTTTTATTATCAGTAAACACTAATCAAAGTTAGATTCAATTCATGTTTCGTGCACTGCAAGTAGGTTATTTCTTTTCCTTTTTTGATGGTATTATTATTGTTATGGATATTAGTTGAATTGGTTGGTTAGGAAATTGGAGTTACTTAGATGGTTGGTTGTAGTTAGTTGAATCGGTAATATGTCTATAATTTTTCTCACTGATTTTCTGAATTTTCGTCTCTCTTTGGACTCTACCATGTTTATCAACAATTATTATTATTGGAGGAATTTGCTGTTGTATGTATCACTGTTAACATGTTTAGTATACAAGAATGAGTTATGGTTTCTGGAAATTGACTAAGAGTCTGTTTGGATACGAAGCTTAGAAGTGTTTCTGAAAGCTTCTTTATTAGAAAATATTTTTTTTATTTTCAATTGAGAAACTTTCAAAAGTGCTTCTAATTTGTATCCAAACAGGTTCAAGTTCAAAGTTTGCTTGTGGACATAGGCTTAGAGCATGTTTGGAAACTTTTTTTTTTCTTCCCAAGTTTTTTGTTTAGACCAAAAAGAAGCTAATCTAATCCAAATACACCCTTAGATTCCTTGGTGAATTGAGGTCCTTGTAAAATTGTATATTGTGTGTGGCCTGATCAAGTGAACTTGCACATGCTGAGAAAATCATTATGTGTGCTACTCTATAAACATGTGAAGTAAGCAATGTCTATGGCATTAATCTGTAACATTATTCTATTCAATTTACTATTGTATCAAAGGAGCATATTCTGTGGACAGGCCTAACATGCGAATATTCACTTTTTGGATGTACAACTAGTATTAGTGAGGTTTTGCTCATAGTTATTAATATAGGATAGTGACATATATAACGTACAGCCTTGAAAATGCTATAAATGTGGATGGCAGTTATTGTTTGGTTTGGTTTGGTTTGAATTTGATATTGCATTCAAATTGAACCACATTACTTTTATGTTTGGTTCTGATATGCCAATTTTTGATAGGCCACTAAAGGTTTATGTTAAAAAAAAAGCCAGTTATAATTTTAAACGTGGCAGTTATTGTTTAGTTTTAGTGGAGTGTAGTTATTGTTTGGTGTTATTAGGTAGTTATTTTCTACATGTGACAGTTATTATTTAATATATACTGTAGACGAAGTCAGAGAGGGGAGAAGGGTAGTTTTTTTTATCAGTTTCAGTGGAAGGAGGAGACACATTGTTAGGGGGAAACCTTGTGTTTGTGATTCTGTTAGGGGGAAACATTCTGTTTGTCATTATGTGTTTGAACCTGGCCTATGAACCAGATTAAATTTCTAATATAATCCAGTATCCTGTTTTGTTTAAACTTTAAATTCGTGAGCCGAATAGGTTCAGAGGAGTTTTTGTCTAAAAACCAAACTGTGATCACCCCTACTAGAAACAATCAGGCAAGCACTGAGAGAGCAGTTCATGTTGTGTGAATAAAGCTTTGAACAAGATTTGTGAAACCCAACACTGTTGTGCTGCTATAGCCCATGAAATAATGCAATTTTGGCTTCAATTTCAGCTGCAACGCTACTGAAAAACTGCTCCATTATTTGAATACCATGGTGGCCCAAGGCTGTTCCACATTGTCACTATAGTGCAGTATTGACTATTGACTACTACTTTGCTATGAGGTCAAGAGAGATTAACAGTTAATTCCACTATTTTGCATGTGGTTCCTTGGTTTGTCCCTACCAGATGCTTTGGAAACAATTCAAACCTGAGTCTTGAATGAGAAAAGTAGGTACCTTTAGTACTTGGTTAAAACATTTGGTTAGTCTTTCTAAGTTTAATATTTTTGAAACTTGGAAAAGGCATAAAGAGATGAAATATTTTTTGTTATTCTATGTGTAATGGAAAAAATGAAGAATGTGCAATTCATGAAGATGCATTGTCTTAATGTAGTGGAGGTGCACAGCATTTTGAGTTCTGCAGCTAGACTTGGAGCTTTTGTTCATCTTACAAGTATCCAAAGTTGCACAGCAGTTCTAGTCTTGGCCTTTTTTGTATCTTTGGTAACTTAATGCTAAGAGCATCTACAATTCTGCTAAAATTTAAGCAACTCATAAAGTGAGCCAGAGCTGATGTGGCAGTGATGTGGCATAGGGAGTTGCTTATAAGCAACCCCCATTGTAGATGCTCTAATATTTAGGCATCGACTTGCTTTAGTTGCTGTTGGAGAAAGGATTTTTTTTATGGTGCTGCCTGGTAAAATTTTTGGAAGTTGAGACATGCTAGGGACATACTCTCTTTTGAATTTGAACACACTCCTTCCTATTAATTGAAATTTATTGGAAATCATAAAATTTTGTGTGTCCCGCATCCTATTTAATGAACTTTTCATGATTTTGTAGTTTTCAATAAATTTTAACGAATAGGAGAGAATGTATTGGGAGAAATGATTTAGAGATTGTGTTGCTGACACTCCTCTTGGAAAATTTCAATTAATTTTTGTGATATGATTCTGTTATTAATTTGGTATATGCCTTCGATTTTACCCTCATGAAGAATTTTCCAGTTTTTCATTCTTAAATTACTGTTTGCAACTGACGATCCTGGTATGATGCCTTTGGTTTAGTAACCCTCATAAAAAATTCATATAATGGAATATGTTAATCTGACGTGCTATATGGTCCACATGGGCAAGTTCTGTGAAGGGTTCATTTCATAGGCTCCTGGTGTGGGAGTGTTTTACTAAGAGGAGTGAATATTAATTTGAATTAACATATTGGTTTAACTATTTTATTTTAAAACACTAGAACAGACTCCATTCCATCTCAGTGGAATGCGGAAGTAAGCATCTTTATGGTACAGCGTAGCAAGTTTTGTGAAAAACGCATTTCTTAGCTCCCAGCAAAAAGTGTTTTAACCTATATAGTTGTCTGCATGATGACAAAAATCTTGTTTTCTGGCATTCTGCTCTCCATGGAGTATTCATTAGCATATCAAACTTGCTGCTGTAGTATACAAATTCGGGTTTCCTTTGATAACATGCTATAATTATATTTCAGTAATGCTTAATGCCTATGCTAAAGCTTCTCCTATTACCCTAGGATGTCTTATTTCTTAGTACTCTAGGTTTCCAATTTGCTGACCTGAAATTCATCTTTTCTTTTGGCAGAACTTGATCAGTTACTTGAAGATGCACCTTTGCCATTCATAATGCAGCATGCTGCCAAGATTTCTAGTGTTAGGAAAAGAGTTTTATCGCTGAATTTACTTCTAAAATCCATACAAGGGCGGATTGATAATATTGATCGCATGCTGTCTATTGGCACCAATCATGGTATAGAATGTCTCCATATACTTTATTTTTTAGTTATTTTCTATTAAATAGTAACTATTAGTGTTGGACTTTTTATTGGTGGGTTTTCCCCTTCATATATGCTCTCTTTAGCCAGTATATAGTTTGATTGCTCTGTTCAATGTTTAAATAAAATTTACTCTGATCTACTATCTGACCATTTTTGTGAACAATCTATCTGAAAGGGTCGGCATTACATTATTTGTCATTGTCTCCCTTCTTTTTAACTGCGGGCCAGTGACTTTTCAAATGATTTCAAATATATGTGCTATATATAACAGGATTTTTGTTTTGTTTTATGTAAATCGTCTTATAATTATGATTAGTTTAGGTAGAATGTTATTTGCTTTGTTAAGTTGTCCAAGAATGGGGTGTTGAGGTTTACGAGCTTGACAACCGTCTGAGTTTATTCTTGTCACCTACATTGGAACCTTGACTACAAATTTGTTCCTCTACCAAATGAATTATTGAAAACTCCCTTACACATAAATACCATGGAAAACTGATATTTTGTGCTATATATTTGGAGTTAATAATATTTGTCTTTCATCACTTTCGTGCTAAGAAGTTATAACCTGAACTACATCATTGTGCATCACTGAATACGACTTCAGGATTCCTCTTCTTATCCTAGCTGTGACCTGCTTTCCTTCTTGTTGGAGAAAGTTCCCTGACAACTTTTTCATTACTTTAATATCGAGTTTTATCCTTTAGTCTTTAAGAGGAACTCTTGAACCCCACACACATTTTCCATGAGAAAACACTTGGATCAATCACTCTAGCTGGCATATTGCGATCAATCATGGAGTCATTGTGATAGTTATCTTATCAGCTAGCCCAGAAGCATCATGGCTGCTCTGGCTTGATTCGGAAAGTGGTCAGTATGCTTAAATCTGCTTCTATGGCCACTGAAGATTTTGACAACTCTATAAGTTGTGATATCTACCATATGATTCTGACAAGAATCAAAGAACTTGAGGTACTGTCCCTGCAAAAAAAATAAATAAATAAGCAAGGCACCTTGAGCTGAGTAGGATTTGGCAATCTGAATGTTGATAACGTGCACAAGATATTTCAGATAAAATAGTGATACTGCTTGAATCACAATGGTTAGTAGTTGGATAAAAAGTTTTTTCAAAGAATTTCCAGAACTAAAATGATGAATGGCTTGTAGCAAACTAGTTAGCATCGATTTTGTTAATAATTTAATACTTGAACCTTTTGTATTCATGTTCTTAATTCTTTACACCAATTTTTTTGTTTGTAATTTTGCAGAGAAAAACAACCACTGAAGGTTCTGGGTGAATGTCATCTGCTTCAATTTTTTTCCCTTTGTACTATGTAATGCACCCTAACCCCTTAAATTGAATTATTCCTGTTAGTTGTTAGGCACATACCAGCTTGGTGTCAGTTAAGGACTTCAGAATTGGGATCCAGTCACAAGCTGTATTTAGGTTACTTTTGATTATCACTTTGTGCTTGAAATCTCAAAAATAAAATAAATTTTTCATTTCATTCATTAATGAATTCTTATTTTAAACAGAAAACTTGCCTTCAATGACACAATTTAGTTTATTTACAAATAATTCTGTTGCATTTAAGAATTTATATGTTCTATTGCCTATAATAGTATTTGCAAGCCATTTTATTTCAAATTTATATACATATCCTACAAGGAGCCTGTCATATCCCATTTCCTGCAGCTAGAAAATGAAAAATAAATGAGAAAAACAGTAACCCATTGCATGGTGGGGCTACTTAGCAGGTGCCCCATCTAAATTAGCATACTTTGCTTGTTGGTAGTAAATCGGCCTATTTAATTTCTTGAACTTGTGAAACAAAGTCTGCAACCCAATTCCATTGAACTATTGGGTCCACTATGCACCGCACCATCTAGATGCCTAGAAGGTGATAGAGTCGTAACATATGAATGCCGTGCATGTTTATATATAAATGCATAAGATTCGAAGGATATGGTGACACATGCAAAATTTCCCAAGCATTACCAGATCTTATTACCCGAAGCAAATGGCCAGAATCATGCCTATGTTTGCTGTTGTCGTTTTGTTGCACTGCTGAGGGAAGAAGAAAAGGAAAGGAAATATCTCAGCACCATCCCGTCCTACAGTAAAACCGTAAAAAGTTGTCCATGCAGTACTAAATTCCAAAGGGACCCAAACCCATTGCAGTTTTATGACATACTCTAACATAACAACAACAAATTATCCTTCGTAGTCCAGCTCATGAAGATACTGTGATGTGAACTCCAGTAGTTCACATGCCCCCACACTTTAGTACGGACCTCACAGGTGTGGCATTATTCTATTTCTAAAACATCCATCAACGCACCTGGCCTTCAATCTTACAAGGGGACACTGCAATATAGATGAAGATGAGGACAAAGATATGTTCCCAAGTCGGTCATTTCTTCCCCTCAAATTTCATTTCAAAAGTAATGTGTGAGAAGTGATTAATTTAATCAAATATTTTAGCTCATTAACTATTTATCTTTCACTATACAGAAATTCTTTGTTATTTTTGTCTGCCTTCCGCATCTTAGATACTGACCTCAGCCTTTTTAGCCGTTAGCATTTTAGCAACAGCACCTCCTTTTCTCATCCCTTTTGTGCACTGACCCACTCCCTATGCAAGAGAGAGGGGGGGTTGGCAGTGATGCATATGATAGGGTTAAAGGGATTGGATGAGGGGGAATCTGTGCAGAGACCCGACTGTACATAAGCACGTTCTCTCTTTGATGCCCCCAAACTCACCCCTCAGCCTTTTGCAGGCTCTCTTATTATTCAACAAACAAATTGTTTTCTTTATGAGACAGAAAATCAGATCATGAAGATCATGCTTTAAATACACTTATTCAATATTTAATTAATGGCAGCCTCTCGCTCTGGCTAGTTTAGAATCTTTTAGACTTTGAGGGCTTCCATTAATTTACCTGGGGCTGCTTTTCAGCTGATTTACCTCGCAAGATAGAAATGATTGCACGTATCCTCAACCCTATATTTAAAGCGAAGAGAAAGTAATGACAAAGTTGAGCTCGTTAAACAAACTAGTATAAGTCACGTCACACAGGTAGGCTTTCATAGTGCAATTAAGTATTAATTGGCAAAATATGACAAGAATCCAGGGTAAGGGTTTTATTTGGATTGAGGGAATCACTTGGGGGCATGTGACCCTACAATGCCACAACACTTCCCACCAAAAGTGTAAAGACAGAACTAACCCTTGCATTGCTGTATTGGGACACAGTAAACAGACATTGGCAGCATGACTATGAAAAGAAGTGTGGGTAGGTGCATCCATTTTCACGTTGTCACAAAGCCCAAACTCTAATGGGAACAAATGCGGTATTATAACGGGGACTACCCCTTTAGGACTGGTCAAACACCACACCCATATCATATCAAATGCATCAAAAACCAAGCATGGACATGGACGGAGTCGCCTAAAATAAATAAAAATAAAATAATAAAAGTAGAGAATGATAGGATGGCTCATGGCTGCAAATGCTGCCTAGGTAGGTTTTAGGTTCACGCTGTAATTTGTTTCTATAGGGTGCTTCAACGTAGAAACATGCACCGATACCCGTTAAATATTTTTCATTTAAAATTAAAATCCTATGAAACATTTCTAGTTCTAAAAGAATAAATTTTATTTATTAAAACTATTACAAATGAATTAAACTATTATATTGAAAATTTATAAAACGAGGATTATTCATTGAGATGGATATGGAGGAAGTATATTGTGGCTTGTGTAGGTAAGGCGTGATTGAGAAAATGTCAAATCAAATAGTAGGGAGGGATTAGTTCATAGCCACAGAGACAGAGCCCCAGACCCCAAAGCATGCGCGCAAGTGAACGATGGGACGGGACTGCGCACGACAAACCCCGGTACTTTGCCGGACAACGACAACTGAATTTCGTGTAAAACGAACTCACGTGTATGATGTATCATGTTTCACATTTTATATTATCCCTAACTTATCAAAACTATAATTTCAATAAATTAACTACTCTAGTATACACAATAACCATCCCATCTATGCCTACATAATCCACTTTTAATGTTATAATATCTTCATGCGTTCTTACGAGTTATTATGAAGCTAAAGCATACTGTTAACTAGTTAATCGAAAAAAGTCGACCCTTTTATCATCACGGTAAACCCAAAAGAATGAGTAAAGTGAGCTAACAAGGGTACACATGAAATTGAAGAATTTCAAGTACGTTTCTTATTATCTTATTAAAAAAAGGAGGGTAGAAGTGGCGAAGAATTTGATTGAATAAAATAATAAGATTGAAGCGAAACACTATGATTTTATAAAAGTGAGTTAGGAAAGAAGTTGTCTCCTCCCATCCACATCCGTCATTAATTTGTATAGACAAATAAAAAAGCCCGCTCTCTCACATGGGTTTTGGCTTTTATGGTGGCTAGGCTAGGCTAGGCTGCAAGTATGGCAACATGTTAGCCACGTGATTTTAGCATTTTCCTAACTTTTGAAAAATATGGAACCATCATTACTTATATGCTATCTATCTTCTTGGTTGGTACACTTTTCGTTTCCGTTGCCCTTTAGTACGAGTAGTAGAGTACAAGGAAGCGTGTATAAAATAAGATTCAAGCAAATAGTATATATAGTTTAGTGAATGGAACGAGGCAACTAAACCGACAGAGGGTCGTTTCTAATTGCAAGTTAAATCCCCCCCCACAGTATATAATTTGAATGTGAGTGAGGCCCCGTGATAGTACCACGGAACTAGAACCATTTCTTTCACGATGGGGGGAGGGGGGTCCATCTCCAAAGGCATTCAACTTTTGAACATATCCTTTCCCTCAATTATGCACATCGGTTATAGCAAATATCACATTGCTTGCAGCAAACAGGAAAGGTCCTACCATATCTAATTAGAGACGGACCCATAATGATGGCCGGGAGTGAGATCTTTTCACTCCAATGGGATCAAGTTGACCCTATTTTTGAATGTTCTGCTCCACCCCTCCACCAACATCTTTCACGCACACAAAGGGAAAATTTAATAGTGAAATTGTGTTCAATTATTCATAATCCCTTCTGGGAACTCATCCCATGTCCCCAATCAAAGTACACATCTTGTTTAAAAGAAAAAGAACCCTGCCCCACCCAATTGAATCTTCCAGAAAGTTCACACACTGACCTTCAGGTGTGGACCACACACCCCATAAATCAAAAATAAATAAGTAAATATACACCAAATGCAAATTGTCATCTAGCTAAAACAAAAACTTAAGCTTAATTAATTGCAAGCCATCAAGGTTTGGGATCAGACTGACGTGCAAATAATAATTCAGCAGAGCTGGCGCCTCTGTTTGCATTTTTGGCATCATTTCCCAAAACACTTCACAGCATAAACAACAAAAGAATAAGAAAACTTAGATAAACTCAACATGTTCCCTCCACAGATCTCGAAATATTTCACTAGCAAAAAGAAATCCATTTCTCCATTATTAAATAAAAATAAAAAACTAAATGAAGAAAATGTTAAACAGTAAATGGATCTCTTCTTTACCATCATTTTCATGATTCCATTTTTCATCACAACAACAGAGCCCAGCCCAGCCCACCTCGCGTATTTACATTAATTTAAAATAAAAAAAAAGTCAAGAAAATGAAATAAAATCAACCACCCCCCAACCCCAAACAACTTCTCCTGCAATATTTCCATTCCGAGATTAGACAACAGAGTGGCAAAAAAAGGTAAAAAAAAAAAAAAGGGGGTAGTGAATCGGTTGTGTTACTGGTTACCCTTTTTAAACAGGGGCATTCCCGTCAATTCCGAGTCCTCCCACTCTGGTGCCCCTTGTTCTCTCTCTTCTGCGGCGACGAGAAGAGTTGTCCGAACCCGAAAACCGAACCGGTTTTCAGGGAACAAACCGGAACGTTCAGAACCGGCGTAACCCTAACGTTCGCCGAATACGACCGCTCCATTCCGCGGTGCTTGAACCGCGGCCCGCCGTTGAACGTGCTGGGGCTGCTCGAGCTCCGTTCCAGGCTCTGGAACACGATCTTCCCGGAGGAGTTCATCCTCGGGCTGTCCACGGACACTCCCCTCGACACCACCGCGTCGGAGTCCCGCCGGATCGGGCTCCGCCCCGGGCGCGCGGGGAGGTCCGATTGGGACTTGTTTGAGTCGAAGGACGCGGCGCGGGGCTTCACCAGGCGGATTCTAGGGTTAGGGTTAGGGTTAGGGTTAGATGTATGGTTAGGGTTAGGGTTTCGGTGGATTGAAATGTTAGGGTTAGGGTTTGGTTTTTCGGAGTCGAGGGAGAGGCGAGGGAGGTCGTCGTGGTCGTGGGAGGAGGAGGAGGAGGAGAGGGAGAGGCGCGAGGAGAGGGAGAGGGATTCGGAGTCGGAGAGTAAGGGGGCGTTTTCGGAGGTGGATTTGGGGGTGGTGCGGTGGTGGAGGAGGTTTTTGAGGGATTTCGTGGAAGGTTGGGTTTTGGAGGTGGTGGTGGTGGGGTAGAGTTTCTTGAGGCCGAGGAGGTCTTTCCAGCGGGAGGAGCAGCGGGGAGCTTTTGGGGAGAAGAGGTAAGGGTCAGTGGTGGAGGTGGAGGTGGTGGTGGTGATGGCGGCGGCGGTGTAGGATGGTGATTTGGGGGTAGGGGGTTTGAGGTGGAGGGGGAGGAGTTTCCCGTCGGAGAAGAGCTGGTCGGCGGGGAGCATGGTGGCAGGTGGGTCAAGGGGGAACTCGAAGTCGTCTGGGTCAGGGGAGGTTGTGGGGAGCCATGGGAGGAAGGGCTCTGGGAGGTTGTTCACACATGCCGAGGCCATTGATGCTGGATCATGCAACAGTGGAGAGTGTTGAAAGAGTGTGGTTTTGAAGATGAAGATGGAGGAGTGTTGGTGTTGGTGCTGTGTGTGTTAAGGTTAACGATGGTGGCTGCCACAAAGACTTGCATATATAACACTTCTCTCCAGGTACATGGAAACTAGGGCCACGTGTCCCCCACTTTTCTCTCTCGCTTTGTTTTCTTGTTTACTTTTTCCTTGCCTTCCAGCAGGAAAGAAATATATATATATATATAATACTATAATATTCATAGAAAGCAGGATCATTAGTACTCTCTCACAAACCATGTCTTGTGGCTGTTTTTAATTTTTATGATATTTATTTTAAACATTATATCTATTATTATTTTTTAATAAAAATATTTACGCTGATAATGCATAAAACTAAGAATCTTAATTTTCCTTAAAATGATTTTTAAAACATTCATAAAATTACTATTCATATACTTTTTATGATTAATTTCTTTTTTAGTTTCTTTACTTTTTTTATGAATGATGTATTTAAATAATCTGTATGACCCAACTCAAAATTCTTTTAATATGTGATAGATTGATTGATTATTTAATATTCTGTCAAATAAATATAAAATGAGTATAATAATAATAATGATAATAAACAGTTGTGTTTGCTTATTTCATTGACAAAACTGATTATGATGATTAAAAAAAGTTAAATTACTTTTTTTCTATTAATTTACTTAATTAGTTCAATTTAAACCTTTATTATTAAAATATTCCGTTTGTTTCTTTAATATATTTTTTTTAAATGATGTTATGTCATATTTTTGTTCAATTTAAACTAATACTGTTCATTTATTGTAAAGGTGACGCAATGAAATTAAAATGTGGAACTACATGAATAAGAAATTAACGCCATTGGTCTAAGTTAGACAAAAAGAACAAGTTTACATCGTTTTTTAAATAGGAAGAGATCAAATTAAGTATTTTAATAATAAAGAAATCACATTGAATAAATAAAAATAATAATTTAGGGAAAAAATCTAATTTTAATGAAAGAGGTTTACCTTTCGCTTTCTATACCATAAATGAGTAATCAACACTTTTTTAGTATTTGAATTTGCAAAGTGTTATTTGGATACAGTTTTGTAAAGAAATTTAAAAAAAAAAAAATCATCTTATTTATGTCATAGCATGTTTGGTTCAATGTTTTATAATTGTACTTTACGTCAATTGTGAAGCAAGATAATATAGATTTCACGTTATTTTTTTTCTAGTTTTACGGTGAAAATTTTAATATATGTATATTTAAAATTATAAAAACAAACACACGTCTAGGTTGATTTATTGAATTAAGATTTTATACGACTATTTTAATATGAAACTTTTTTGTTAATTTTAAAATATTTTGTAAAAATGTAATGATTTTTATGATTTTTTAAAAGACTTTTATAATTAAGATTTTATAATATAAATTTTAATAGATTTATACCTAAGAATTTAAAAGATTTGAAAGAATTTTCTAAATTTTTTAAAAATAATATAAAATTTAAAAAGTAATAGAATTAATAATAAAAAAATATAACATAAATGGAAAAGTTTGAATAAAAAAATATAATTAGTATAATTTTTTAATCTTTTAATAATTAATTAATTTTAGTTTCATATCTTTTAAGTAATATTTTTTTAAATATATCTTTTCATACATTAATATTTTTTCATTATGTTATTAAATTTGAATAATATGTCAAAATTCATGATATTCATTATTATTTGTTGATTCATTACAGTTGGAGCAAGTTTGCACTCTCCGTGTTGAACTTTCTTAATACTTTTCCATATTTTTGCTGACACCCAAATATTTACTACTTTGACGTGGTGAATAGCCCAACTATTTTGTGCAGTAAGTGCGAACAACATCCTTATGGTATCCAACCTTGCCATTGAAGCAAATGTTTCAAAAAAAAAAAAAAAAATCCACCCTGAAAATTGGGGCATATCCCCTAACAACCATTATTATTTATACTTGGTCATATAAACCCAGTTGACTCTTAACTTTCTTATATATCATCATTAGGTCTGTCCATCAATTTTCATGTCTGATTTTTTAATCTTGAGATCCTCCTCCATCACATTTATCCAATTTTTATCAATTGCAACTTTCTCATATTCAGCAGGTTCCATGATGGAAACATTACACCTTTGATAGATATGTCATTTGATAGATATGTCAGACAAATGATCTTGTTCCTCTGGTCGGTTCTTCGTCTATGTCCTTGTTCTCCTCCTGAAATTCAACCTTATCATCTTTCCAATTTTAGCTATCTAGCTCTAAGAATCTCACATCCCTTCTAACAATTACTCTGTCATGGTGTGGTAATGTAGGCTTTTGAAATTAAGTTATAGGCTACGAAGATTATAGGTTATGCTTTCTTGTCCAAATTATCCCTCTTAACATGTGGAATGTAAGAAAAGCACAAACACTCTTACACTCAAATATCTTCAAATTAAGAAACTTTGAGTTGCCAGCATAACATGCTTCAAATGGTGTCTTTTTTTGCAAAGCTTTTGCTGATGGACCGTTAAGCAAAAATACTACACTATTTACTTCTTCTGTCAAGAATTTCTTTGGTAATTCTTTCTCATGAAGCAAGCACCTAGCTATTAGCAGTGCCATTCTGTTTAGGTGAATATGGTGTTGTCAACCGGTGTTTTACACTCGAATCTTCACAAAACTTATTAAAATTTTCAGAGTCATATTCAGTTCCATTGTCGAATCTCATTACCTGTCGTTTGCAGTTCTTTTGAGTTTTCTCCCAAGATTTGAACTTCCAAAAGATGTGAGCAACTTCAAATTTAAACTACTTAAAGTAAATACAACATATTCTTGTATTATCATCAATGCAATCAATATAATACCTACTCCATTAAGCCATGGTGTTCTCATGGACCCTCCCACATTTGTGTGTATTAATTACAGCTTTTCTATATCCCTCCAAGTCTTATTTTAGGGTTGACCTGGAAACCGACCATTTAACCGGTCTGACTCGGCAGATTTGCTAAAAACGGTGATTCGGATTTGGCTACCTGGCCAAGTTAATGCATTTTTTTTATTTTAGTAATACAATATTCGTGATTATCCTCTATTTGTCTGTCACTTCCATTTGTCATTCTCCTCCATCACACAGTTTGAGTTGCAACACACAATGCTTGTTGTTTCTCCTTTCTCGCAGTTGCGCATTCTGACAACAACAGTAATGTGACCTTGTCAATGTGGTGTGTCTATCATCTCCTTATTATACAACGACACAACCTTCAATAGTTGTTATCATTTGTCTTATGTCCTCGTTGTATAACGACGAGTTCATCATTTGTTCATCACACGACAACACAATCTTGCTCTAGAGTGTGGGTCATTAACTACATTTTAATTTCTTTTTATTATGTTTATTGCTTGTTGATAGGATTGGGTGGTGGTTGCTTTATTTTAATTTTGTTTATTATGTTAATCAGTTGCTTTGATTTTGATTTGATGAAAGTGTCTATAATATTGAAAATTTTAATGTTTGTTTATGGAAATTTTATAATATATTTTTACTTGTTTATCATATCTAATTTGAAGTATAAATTTTATATGTTGTTAATTATTTATAATTTTTTAATATAAATCAAGTCATGTAGGTTAATTGTTGACTCAGTAATTCGTCCTTATACTCACCGACCTAATTTTTCAACCAAGTCAAGTTTGATAACATTGCTTTTACATCAATACATGCTCTCTTTCCTATATGGACTTTATAGAAAAAAAAATGACTTTCACAATAATCATGAATCTAAAAAACTAGGAGTACAATATGAATTTATCTTATGAAGGGGTATGCAAGAAAAATACAAAACATGCAAGTTCTAAATTTAATACAATAATTCAAATTGCAAAGGATAAAGAAACTTCAAACAATTAAATAATACTTGGCATTGGTAACAAAGTGAGGTCACTAGGCACAAAATTTGTAAACTCAAGATTTTTTTAAAAAAAAATTAATAATGCTTAAGGTGAGGGTTAAGTTTTGTACTCTGCATTTGCAATATTTGTTTTAATCTTTTTAATTTTGATTATTTTTATTTTAAATCTTCTCAATTTTTTCTCTTATAAATAATTATTTTTTTGAGCTGTGTAATTTTCTCCATTTGATTTGATGGACAAACCTAACTACTAGGATTGACCTAGTAATAAGAGTCGAGATATCTTCAAATTTTGTGTCGTCATTCTAATTTTAATGGATAAAGAAAGTTATAGACAAACTTGAAATCAGTAATCAAAATGAAGCAAAATAAAAAATAAAATTACAAAGACAAAATAAATTTTATTTTAAAAGGATGAAAAGCAAAATACTCCTATAACATGAAACTAAATTATTTTTTTTTTTTGTAAAGATAGGAAAGATTACAATGATGATCATAATGAGGATTGAACCTAGGTCCTCATGCTTCTAACTACCAAAACCCCTCCTCACCCAACCACTACTACTAAATTTTATTTAAGGGAAAAGAATAATTTTAATTATTTATTTTTGTTACTATTAACATGAATGTCACGTGATCACACATCTAAGACATTGTGTGAGACTTAACATGCTAAATTAGCATTTCTAATTCTAATAGTGTTAGCTAAAAACATCTAATTTTAGATGAATGCGAATGCCCAAATATACCAATAATTTCATCTTCTTCTTTTAAAGTCAAGAACTATGAATGATACCTTATAAACTGAAAGACAAATAATAGTTTACTTCAATATAAATTAGAGACAAACATGACTCGATATAAAAATAAGATTTTGCTAAATAAACGCCTTTTTATCACGAGGTCTGTTTAAATAATTTTTTTAAAAGCATTTCTAAAAAAAAAAGTTAAATAAACTTCTCTATAAAAAAAAAGTTTATAAATAAATTAATTTAACTTTAAAGAAGCTAATGTGAAAAGACATATATAAATGTATAAGATTATTTTTGTTAAGAGAAAAATTTATTTCATTATTTTTCTTATTTTTTTTCTCTTAGACATGTTTGAGAAGAAATTTATCGAAATACAATTCACGAATTTTGTCCATTGATCATTGTGGTTAAATTTCTTGTTAGAGATGTAACAACATTCATTTAACTTGTGTTTTGTTTGGGGAGGGGAAAGAATCCAAGGGAACAA